TTGATATTATGTCTGATTTTATTTTTTTAATGAAAAAAAAGACCATCTGGTTGCACATTTGCAACATTTGGGGAAAAAATATTAATTATATTATATATTAAATAATAGCGTATTAATTTCAAAATACTCTGTGGTGTAGTTGACAAAGCAACCATTTTTTTCCTTGCCTGCCTGAGTTTGAGACGTTGTTTATGCATTTTTTCAAGTAAGAAGTTGATTAGCACAAAAAAAAATGCTATTATTTATAAATAATATAATTGATATTTAGTTTTTCCAAAAAAAATAATATGTACGTATTCTCATTTTGATTTTAGTAGATGTAAAAGGAGGGAGGCTGCACTTATACATTAGGATATGAAACCCTAATGTCGGTTGAAACCGAATCGAACTCAATAATTTTGGTTTCGGTTCGGGTCATATTTAATTCCAATCTAACCGACCCGATTCGGTTTCTTTCACCCCTGAAAAATAAAGTGGTTACGACGACCAAATTGTAGAACAGATACAAATGCATTTATATTTTCAACAAGTTTCAAGTAACGCATCTTTCCTTTAATATGTTTAAAAAAAGCATTATTTTGCAAATAAATTTGAAATAAGACGTTATTTTTTAAAACAGTCCCACCTATTAGTGTCTTTTTCTACATCATTGACTGGATCGCTCACCTCTTTTTCATATGATATGTTATAAAAGAGTATTATTTTTTCAAAAGAAATCCTACCGACATGAGTATCTCTTTCTACATTATTGGCGGGCTGTATCACTCACTTTTTTCTTTTTTGGTGAAGTATGACCACGTGAGACACACCCGTAAAGAAATCATTACCTACTCCCATTACCTTTTTTTTGTTATTAATAATTAGAAAAGAGAAAAAATTACTTTTGTTTTCTAATTATTTTTAATTCTTTCTAAACTATTTAAAAAATCTTTTTAAATTATATAAACTAACTCTAAACTATCACACTTATTACAATAATTAGAACCTAATAATTTTCAATTTGATCAAATTTCGGTCTACTTATCCATTAGCGTTTGCCCTGTCGACTGGCAAGTCCAAATTTTGCCTAAGGTAGCACTCTGAAGAAGAAGCCTAGAAGAAAGTAATAAGAGGGAGACATTTACTGTGACATGCTCCCGTCACAACAGCATTAATGAATTTGGTGTTTGGCCACAATCTTGTAACCATTCCTTCCCATGTTCCTTTGCTATATTCAGATTCAATAAAATTTGCGAGCTGAGAATCAGGTTTCAGAATACTCATAACCCATTCCCCCACAAATGGGTCTTGAATTTTGGTGTCTATGGAATGGGATGGCAGCTCTCCACTTGGTCAAATCATGGGCATTCATTTACTCAAATGCTGTAGTTGCTGGTGGCTTGGGTTCGCTTCACGGACCGCTGCCCAACCACGACAGGGAATCCAGCCACTGATAGGCACATAAAAGATCTTGAGCCCGCTAACAAGGTTAGGGCCATATGTCCTCGCCAAAACCAAAATCGAGGGACTTAAAAGTAAAACTTGGGTTTAAGCACCAGCAATACATGACAAAGGCCGATTGTCAAGCTTTCATCGTTACATGCTCTCTAATTTGGAGTTGTCTGATCCAATCAACAGAAAGCAAATTAGCGAATGGAAATGGTAATGGTAATTTTGGGAACTGCCTTGACATGTGTGTTGTAGAATTGAAGAAGAATGAGCTTCTGAAACGTCATAATATTGTTGGAGTTGTTAAAGCTATTGGGGAGCGAGTGAAGGAATTCGAGAGTTAACCATTGAAAATGGCTAACAAGTGGTTGTTAGAGTGGAGGAAATGTGATGAATCGGGACACCTTTTAACCATTGTGGTGTCACCAAGATTAAGGGCTTATTATACAGATTTTGGGTAAGGTTGTTCGTGTTGACACTTCTAAGGCAATTTCTCTTCATGAATCTTGTTGATGCAATTTTTCGGAAGCTGGTCGCATTATATTGGGAGTCAATGAACCATATCAAGGAGAGGTTGGATCTAGCTTAAAGAAGCTGAGACTCAATTGGTTGTGAATAGGAGAATGACCAGATCTTGTTGTTTGGAAGATTGAGAGAGTTGATAGTCTTCACCAGATATTGGCTTTGAAAGTTGAGGCAAAAGCGACGTGCAAAAAGCGAAGGTGAGTGGATGTCAGCAAATAAAGAGTGGCTTGAGGGAGGATGACGTACCTTAAAATACTAGTAGTCCTTTCTATTTATAGTTTTTGGTGGCAGTGTGAATGTACTCTTAGAAAGTCAATGGAGGTGGTCAAAGTGCACTCTATCCCACTCACCAATGGATGCACAAAAAGGGTAAGTGGGTCCCGTGTCTAAAACCCGCATTGTACCATATTGGTGGTGGCTAAAAAAGCGCTAAATAAAGAGTGGATGACCCAACGGGGGCTGCACAAAATTAGGGCCCACCACCCCTGTGGCGCTGGGCCGTGCAAGTCTCCTAGCCCATCTATTGTGCGGCTGGGGGTTTATTCCCGCACAATGCGCACATTGGCTTTGGGTAATGGGTTGGGCCTTTGGGCCTAACTTTCCTTTAATAAATCCCAATTTTAAACCTAACAAATCTAGAGACGAGGGAGGTGGGATTGAAGTTTGTTTGGGACTTGCTAAAACTCGTATGGATCGCTTTATCACCATGTGACTCGATTTGCTAGAAATATCGTTGGGGCTTTTTTTTTTTATTTGATGCAAAATATTATTGGAATTTATGTACTTGTTTGTTGTTTGACGAATCACTTACATTAGTCATGTTTACAGTGTCCATCAACTTCACAAATATATTGGAGACCACAAATAATTTGTTCTTACTCACCTTATGTGAATTAATTTTAAAAATATTTTAAATCTCTAAGAATATATTACACTAATATACTTAAAAATATAAAAGAAAATGTAGCTTGAGAAGTAAATAGATATCTTCATAACTACTGATAAAAAATTTACGGCTAAATCGTAAGTCGGAGATACCTACTCAAGGAAAACGCTTTTTTAATTTTTCTCACGGGAGGGCTGAGCAGTTTCTTTTTATTTTTTATTTCTTATTTTTTAATAAGATGAGTGTAGAGTTCGATCACTAATTTAGTTTTATATTGTATGGTCAGGACAAAAAGAAAAAAAAATACAGCAAAAATAAAATAATTCACAGAGTATTGCTTTTCTCCGGCAAAAAATATTTAATTATATTCCTTTTATTAATAAAATAAATAACGTGACACACGAAGATTATAAAAACAATAAAAATTGTATTTAAGATTTGGAAGATCATATAAGCTTTAAAACGTCAGATCATGTGAAAACATGTGCTCCTTGGCTGGGGTGGACTACCAAAAAACGGTTGAATATGATATCATATATGATATAAATAAGGAAAAATAATCATTTTTTTACCCATAAATTTTATAAATTGTATTAATTTAAGTCTAAAAACTATCAATTTCATCCCTTTGAATTGAACATAAATTTTATAAATTGTACTAATTTTAAGCTAAATTTTCAATTTCATCCCTTTAAACTCTATACTTAGATAAATGTCTTTATTCAATTTCTACTAATTGACTTAATAATATAAAAAAAAAACTCTAAAATTTCACTAATTTAATCAATAGTTAACTTTAAACAAAATGAAGTGATGGGATGGGCTGGTGAAAGAGATGAGTGGGGAGGGGAGAGATATTTTTCATTTATTCGTTTTTCAAAATGAAATATTTTCTAACCGCCTTTGAGGTGAAAGTGTAAAATTTTCAACTTTTAAGGACTAAAATTGTTTGCCAAACTTCATAAACTAAATATAATTTTTTTTTATTGAAATGAAGTAATATATATTAAAGATAAAATTTAAAAATTTCAAAGAATAGGTATTGAAAAGAATCATGTAAATATATTTTTTGTTCAAAGACTCGGTTTTTTTACTTATTCCCATATTACATGTAAATATATTTTTTGTTCAAAGACTCAGTTCTTTGTACTTTAGAAGTAATTATATATGACGTCCATGTAAATCAAATGCTATTTAATTTTCTCTTAACTTAATAAATATAGTTGATATTGATAGAATCAAACGAAAGAAAGTCAAACTGATAGAAATATTTAAATTATCTATAATGTGAGGATTAAAGTATAAAAAGAATATTTTATAAACAAGTTGCCCGTTTTAAATTTTAATATAACATAGATAAAATATATATATATAAAATATGGTATTGAAATTGAAAAAAAAAAATAGTAGCTGCCTGCTTGCCAGTCTGCCAATGTGCGGTTTGTCCACTCCTTATTGTTCGGCAGAAACAGGATGGCGCCCCGCCCCGCCCCAAATATATGACGTTGCCATAAACGGGTCTGCAACTTCAGTTGGGTTTTGTGGCTTTCATCACTGCACTCCATTTTGTTTGGTAATCATGGTTGATTCTGAGGTTGAAGTTAATTACGATGCCAACATCGTAA